AACCGTTTGAGGGTCTTAGGGATTACAACCTGCGGCATCGTGCTATTGCGCCATTGAAGCTGTGCGCTTTTCCACTATGTCAGTGCTGCTTGTTATCGTTCTCACCAAAGAATGATTGGGTGCCATTGTAAGTGAAACTTTCTCTTGACTCTCCCTAGGGAATCGTTCCGCGAATGCCGAGCTCAAAGGATCATGACACATGAATCCATGCAATTATTACTGCAAATGGCTGAATCGATCTATTGGGGTCCCTTTGTAGGTGTGGAAGTTTCTCGGTTTATAATTTGGGAATTCGAACCAGCGCGGCACAGGTTATTGGATTGTTTGGAGACAGGTAAGGAAAACACTCCAGAAAAACAACCCGGAAAACTCACATGAGTCATTTCGTCTCCTGCCGTAGGCAAACCACTGCTGATTTGCTAACGCAGGTTCCAGCAGTAGGGCAGAGTCAATGAGTTGAAAGAGGAGGAGGAAAAAAGGAAAGGAAGTGAGTAAATAAAATAGATAGATCAGAGATTCTAGTATCGTGTTGATAGCCATTTTACACTGCGATATCTTGTAGTGACTCTTTGATGCAAACAAGGCAGATGTAGTTGATATCCTCGCAATCAGTCGGACGTTTTCGAGAGGATGGAATGAGCTGAGCCCACCAACGGCATTCCCTCCACTGGTTTTTTTCCATCTTAATTGGCCACTGGATGAAGAGCCCGCATTCATTTAATGTTCCCACGCTTTCGCTGGATAGGGTAGGCCCTTTCTACAAGAGTAGACGATGTGCTAGTTTCGCAGCTTGAAAATACGAGAGGAAGTCTCCTCCAGCTTTAAAAAATTCGCCGTCCCATCCACTTACTGCTACAACTCACAACTTTCATTTCTAATCGCTTCCTGTCGGTTACGGTTGTTCCGCTGCCAATTGTTTCCATTAGGAATGGTTAGAGTGGTGATAAGGAGAAAGAGTTGACACCAGTGGAGAGAACACGTCCGATCTCGTCTGCCCTTTGCCTTACGCACGTACGATCTCAGATCGGCATGGGGTTTTATATACAGCCTTTCGCACAATTCCTTTAGTTTTCACTACTCGACCTGTTTGCTACCTTATTGTTACTATCTGACCGCATAACTCATCATTTTTGATCGCGGATTCTGCCTTCAAACGATCGTTGCTAGAGCAAGGTAGCCAGTGGCGGGCTTATTCCGCCCCTCTTGACAAAGGTGTCATCTTGACGACCTCTTCTTCTAGTTGCGACCTATGGGCTATAGTTGACATGTAGTCATCGAAAAAAGTGCGTGTGAGTATAGTGTAATAGAATGCTTCTCATGTAGTCATCGAAAAAAGTGCGTGTGAGTATAGTGTAATAGAATGCTGCAATTACAAACTGTTGTACAATTAGTGATAAACTCCTCTGTTACAAAGGATTGAAAGCAAAAAAAACATTGAGATTGTAAAGCTTGTTGGTTACCATTTCTAAAAAATTGGGACCACACGACGCAAGGCGAACATTCCCCTGGAACCGCGTAGTTCGTCTCAGTGGGAATTTGATGGGATTTTCAGTTTTGTCAGACCCGATCTGCGAAACATTTAGTCAAGTCTCAACAGAAGCTCCCGTCATCCGCCAAGCAGATGACTGATCTCACAAAGATTCACACCAATTCCCAGGAGCGCTGACAAGAGTGAAGGTACACAGCGCCGCGATTTGAAATTATGCTCATAATCTGATCAGAATTTTTTCCGGCTGTAAGGTGGCCTAGGGTAGGCTCAGCCCGAGAACACGCATTTTACACTGACTCAGCGCCAGAAAGCCTGGTATGTATGTGATGGGTGTCAGCACCGGTAAGTTATCCACGAAGCGTTCTGGCTTCTAATATAGAACGGCCACGAATAGCGATACCAAGAGTGTGATCGCGGAAAAGTCAGAGCTATCGGGGGGGGGGGGAGGGTGGGAGAAAACAAGAATGCCTTCGATTACAAATTAATATTCGGTACAGAAACAATCTACCAACCTGTTCAATCCCGGGGTAACCTTCGTTATGATCATTGATCCAGGCCTCTCTCACATAATTCATGCCCATCCTAAAGGATCGCTTAGCTGTGAGCTGAATAAACACCCACATTAGAAGTTATTTGACTTTTTCGAGTCTCACAATACAGGGAACGCAGTAACCCATTGTTGTTCGATTCTAACATGAGAGGCAAGTTAGTATTCGCTCAAGGATATAATGTGGTACAAGAGTAGCTGCCTATAGTAACGAGACGTAACCCTATGATGTATTGTGATAGACTGCAAACAAGAAAAATACGACTTTCAAAATTTTGAAGGCATCTTACTTCATTTCCGAAGCTTCTGTTTAGAGGGTTAGACGAAGTAACACCAACGTATGATCCTTTATGGGAGAAGTCAACAAATAAAGCAATAGCAAAAAATCGGCATGCGAGTCCGCCTCTTCGTCGAATGAACAGGTCTGGTTAATAAGATTACTTTAGAGTTGTACAGCATCCTCCAAAGACGATATAATATGCCTGAGTCAAGGTTTAGGTCCATAAACAGAACAAAGGGCTATTCTTTTGAGCTCATGGAAGTCTTTGTTACAATCCGAAGCGGACGGCACTTGTCACATTCTACATAAAGGCCTATACAAAATTCATCAACTGAAGAGATTTCATTCGAAATCATCAGATGTCGTAATCGTCCGCAATTCCGAGGAATCTTCCAACCGAAGGAAAATGCAGCGATGAGTAGGCAGTGGCGAGTCCAACGCCCACTGCTGGGACTGCGAAATGCTCGCCATGGCCTATCTGAAAATATCAGACTCCAAATCGTTAGACATAGAAACTCTAGCTACAGTACTTTAATGTGACGTCAAAGATACGTCTTTTCAAACCAACCTGACCATTCATCCAGTCTACAGCCACGGAAGAAGGATTATACCAGAACTTGTTCGCGTGATCTCTGTTGTGTGGGTTGTCCGGATTGCCTTCCCATAAACCTTGAAACAACATTTTGACTGCATACTCAATTTCGAGTTGTTTCAATGCGAAAACTAGAAAAAGGCTGGCTGTGGAGTGGTTTTTGAGCTTTGCATCGCTAAGCTAGCGAAGATACAGCTACGATGGAATGTTCTGCACCACTTTGCTTTTGCTATTCACGTCTCAGCCCGAAACGAATGACGTTATAATGTACTTAGTCTGCAGGACAGATGTTCATTGATATTATTCATGTGAGTAAACAAGGCTCCATCTTTGTTCGAAGAGCAGTTATGGATACCACTGAACCACCCTACTTCTCAGCTGTCTCTACAATAAACCCTAACGAAGACTAAAAAACCCACAGAGAACTCAGCAACAGCGACCGTCCACCGTCACTCATCTGTGCCGCTAGCTTGCCAAGCTTCCAGTTCAATCAAATGAACAGGACGTTCTGGGCACTGCGGAGCACTAAGTAAATCGACAGCACGAAATGATGATTCACGCAATGCATCGTTGTCAAAGTCAATCAGTACTAGCCGCGTATTGCCATGCTTCTGATTCAGCCAAATGACCGTTGTTGATCATCGCTCTGGAATTGTTCTGCGTGAAAGGTTTTCCAGAGATCTCCGCATCTGGTCAAGACGGACAATACCTTTCGTGTCACCATCGCCGGATCATACTCCACACTCCATTCCACTCCACGACTGACATAGAGACAGTAATGGAGCATGAAAGTTGGGTCCCATACTCAAAAACCCTCGCAGGAGTCAGTGTGACAACACGCTGCGAGCGCTTGCAATCGTTACGTATCCAATCCTTTTCGATAGAGCCAACAATTTGAGTCATGGGGGGTCGTACTAATACCGCCATCTCAGGTATCACGATGCTGTCCTCTGAAGAAGGAGTGTGGTCATTTATAAAAGCGCCGGAACCTCTGATGAAGAAGGAAATATCGAAGCTTGTAGCGAAATAAAAATTTAAAAGCAGTTGGAAGAAGTGAAAAGATATAGTTTGACATCTCGTTAATTTTCAGAGACAACAACGTAGTGATCAGCCTAGACTGTCTTCGATGATGAGTCGCGCTCTATATTACCGCTCACTACAATCCTTCTCTACGGAGTAATGGACACAGAAGGCGGTATAATTTCACTCAAATGGAGGCCCTGATTCCCAACACTTCTTCTAATCAAGCGAAAATCGCAACCGATTACTCAGAGTTCAAGAACTAACCAGGCCTCGAGAATGGACTGCGGCTTCGTGGTCGGTGATATATGCCGTACCTATCGGTCAATCTAGAGAGCTCCTGAAATCAATTTAGTGAAGAAAGTAAAGAAAGAGAGTATGACTGCATTTCCCACCATGAATATACCGTCGTCGTCACCTCCATTCCGCTGACTGGATACTGAGGCTCTGCTGCTCTGATAAGCGCTGAATCCATTATTCGTGAGATGTTGTATGAGGGGTCTAGTTAGCAGCTTACCGAGCCCGTGTCGTGTGAAGTGGACTCTGATCTCTTCGAAGTTGCAGTTTCTTGGGATCTATGGCTTTTCCACGTCTAAATGTTCCGGAAATTTGGGGACGAAGTTAAGTGATTGATCAGGATTGCTATCGCTTACTATTGAGAATACCTACTTCTTTCCAGGAAAGTGCGCGCCATTCATTACTAACAATTCTTGACGTTCCGCGAGAGTTGGCAGAGGAGGAGGAATAATCAGTTTGTCTGCACGTACAGAAGGAGTCGTCAAACGGTCCGCAGGCACAGGAGGAGGGATCACTAATTGTAAGTCGTTTGAATTTCGTGATACACGATGTCGATCAGCCGCCCTGCAAAAAGTCTTAAAAGCACAGCCCGCGACCATAGATTGCGGGTAACACACACTCATACTCATACTCACATACGAACAAAAAAGTGTCAGGTAATTAATTAGCCTAGAAAAACAGCAGAAAAACAATCTTAAATACTCCCAATAGAATTCCTTATCGGCCCCAGCTTCTACGTGAATGCAGCAAAGAAAAC